TTTTCTTTTTTTTTCAACAAGTATTAGCTGCTAACGGCCGTAGAAATGCGACTTCGCAATCATTCAACAGTAAAAAGAAATACTGAGTTTATGGCCGTCTTCAGCTCTGACAACTTTCTCCAATTTTGTTTATATTTTGCAAAGAGACAGATGCGCTTTCATTGCCTTTTTTTTATTCCCTCTGATTCACTACCGTTCACTTCGCTGCGAGTCTGACCGAACATTAAACGCTCCCTTCCCACAGTCTCTCGGTGGCGTTCTGAAAGTCATAAAACTCCAACTGCAGAAAGCCGAATTATAACGTTATTTATCACATTATTTTAATGGCTCAACGCCGCCTGGTTTTATAGGCTTTTGCAGTCAAACACACTGAGGGGAAGTGGGAGAAAAATGCAGATAAAAGGAAAGGAAATCGTGACGGTGGAGCTGCTTCAGTCCAAACATGCGACGTGCACTGTGTTCACTGTTCCACAGAAACAGAATAAACAGTTGCTTTCATATTTCGCAGAAAAAACTTTTTAAATGATTTATGAGATTCTCCTCTAAAGCTTCATTTGAAACTTTCCCTCGAGTTTTTTCCGCGGTTTATGACCGAATAAAATTTTGCTAGGACAGTGATACTTTGGATTTGAGCATCCTAATAAAATGTAAATATTTATTAACTTGTTTTCGTCTTCTTCCAGCCGGAGCCTCCTTCCACTAACAAGTGGCAGCTGGACAGTTGGTTGAATAAGGTCCAGGCTCAAACCAAACCCCTGGTTCCTCCACAGCAAGAACATCATGGCACAGGTTGGTAAACATGGAGGCCTGAAGTCGTGTTTTCTAGGTAGCTACAGTCGTCCTCAAATGTATTCACACCCTTCCATTAAAGAAAAGGCAAAATTCACAACAGTCACTCAAATAAATAGAAACTGAAAAAAGTAATAATAAATAAAAATTTGCTAAATTATGATTTAGTGAAATAAGACATTGCTTTTGAATTGTGGTTGAAAGAATAATTTAAAAAAAAAAACTGTCCCAGGCTAATTCGAGCACCTTGCTGATTAGCAGTGAAATCAAAACACCTGAGAGTTACAGAAAACACCTGATTGGCTCAAAGGGTTGTTCAACTAAATATGAGTTTACGGGTCCCATCATGCTTGTTTTTTTTAACATTTCTGTTGAACCACAATTCAAAAGCAATGTCATGATTATCATTCAACTTTTATTTATTATTACTTTTGTCAATTTCAACTTATTTCACTGACAGCTGTTTGTTTCCTTCTTTAACGGGAGGTTATGAACACATCTGAGGACGACTGTACGTATATTGGGTAGACTACACAGACACATTTAGCTTGACTGGAAATAGTAATTGTGGTCCACTGCTCAGGCTCCATCAACCAAGGTCAGGAGACTTTCTCTCCGGGGACTGAAGCACCAGCAGTGGGTTCGGCTGCCAAGACCAAACCCTGTGGAAGCAGCAGCACGCCGGCTCCAGCTGCACCTACAGCGGAGCACAAGGATACGAGGGCGACCTTCTGGTAGGCGCTACAAGTGCAGAACACTGCCAAAGTCACTTTTTGAAGAACATCTGTTGAATAAATGAATGAGTGGACGAAACGCTGACAGATGGGTGAACAAATTGTTGGCTGCAGCTGACAAAAATGTGTCTCTAGCCATAAAAGGAAAAATCTATTTTTTCGCTCGCTGCAGCCCGGGCAGAGAGAAGGCCAAGGCCAAGCTCAGCCAGAAGGCCTCAGGGGAGGGTCAGAGGTCGAAGATGAGGCTGTCGCCGGGCCTGTTGTCGGGGCCAGAGGTCACGACCCCGAGGAGGAACACCACGGGGAAGAAGCAGCCCAGACGGACCGAGAGGTCAAACAGTGTGGAGGATAATCAGAACCAGACATGGAGCCGGACAAACCAGCACAGGTAGGAAAACAGCTGACGGGTTTGTTGTGTTTTGGTTAAAGGAGCTGCATCTCATATAAACCATGTGTGATTATCATTAATTAAAATGTAAAATACTTTGTAGCTGTTACTTTAGAGCAATGTGTTGTCTGTTGTTGGTCCACAGCTTCTCCATCACACTGAAACGACTGCCAGCGTTCATTGTTTTTAGGTAAATTAGGTGAAATGATATTGGCCAGGAATAAAGACAACTCACTGTAAATCTTTCGTGCTGACATAGCAGCTAAACTGTTGGATTGTTAGACCTCAAGACTACAGCTTTGATCATCCTCTCTTGTGGACATGCACACAGACACCACAGATGCGTCTATTATGCTACTGTTTACATTTTGATAAGGATGTTAGCTATGGAGGCAATTTTTAACTGGCCAGTTGACACAAAGTTAAGCCCGATCCTTTGTTTATGTCTGCCTTCACACAGCAGTTATAAATCTGCATAATGTTCTTCATAAACGCAGCATTATCAAACAATCATTAACTCATCTGTTTGACAAATATCTGATCTGTCCTGTGCTGATATTGCAGCTGAAAGCCACATGATTTGAGTCGCAGATACAGGAATTCTGTCCAAGCTGATTCTGGTTTAATTTAGGACATATGTGCTGACCACAGGTCATGAAGTGTCACAGAAGAGTTTGTCATGGTGCCCCTGTCCCAGCTGGACTCTCACAAAGCTCTATATGAAACAGTGAGAGGCTCCTGGTGGCACAAACAGGTCCTACAGCAAGTTATCAACACTTGAAGAGTGTGTTATCTCGGAAAATGACAAGGGGGGATAGATGGATAGTTTTTTTTATTCTCTCTATAGTGAAAATAGTGCCGTGGTCAAGTCCATCAGCACTGACAGAGGTGGGATCTTGAGACAGGTTCACAGATTTTAACAGGAATAATCATCTAGCATATCCTTATACAACGATACAGAATGACTTGTTCGGGGATGTTCTAGGTCATGGGGAGGGCCCAAACTAAGTAATGAGAAAACTGCCAAAGGTGTTGAATCTTTACATAAATTAAATGTATGATTCAGCCACACAACGTGCAGCTGAACTTTTTCTCTACTGTGTGAGCATATAGGACGTTTTTGTCACTTATATATTGAAATAAAAATAACAATAGTGATCTCTACCCTTGACAAGAACCAGAAAGTGTCCTAGCAGATACCTCATATCTCCATTTAAAACAGGATTAAACCAAAAGTTGCACTAAAAAGCTCTTGAATGTATGCAGTAAAACCCAATAATCTGCAGTAAAGATCTCTGTGATGCTTCTGTACATCTGACAATAATATCCATTTTAATCCACGTAGTTTTTATCTCAGCTATCTACACATTCATTGTATTCATGTCAGCCTGGTATTTTAAAGAGACCAAAACAAATGCAAAAACATCCTATTTATTGATTATAAATGTCTGTTATAAGTGACAGGATGTATGTTATTGATAAAACTATTAGAATCACTGTTAGGACCTTTACTCTGCAGCTCGGTTTGGTTTAAAGAGCAAACAGAGGCTGCAGAGCATCACGGAGCTCGTTGGCAGTCGGCCACCTGAAGGCTGTCACTCTCACATCTGTTGGTAAAAAATGGTCAGATTGAATAGAAGCCATGTCAAATTCAAATACAGCTCGATGTAAGGTCAGTTAGAAGAAGAAAAAAGGTTGATTCCCTTGTTTTATTTTTCTATTCTCCTCTCCCTCGATCGCTCCTTCCTCCTCCTTCTTTCCATTTTAAGCTCCCCACATCCAAATAAGTTCAGCTGAATGCATGCTGTTTTCAATTATTTCATGCCGTCTTATATTTTTTTTCATTCCAACACACATTCACCCCCTGGAGCTCGCCGAGGCAAACGTTATCTTCCACTGTTTGCAAACATACTACTGTGCATCGCTGGTTTGGGCTCCGGTGCCTTGCTCAAGGGTGAAGCAGGTTCCGATCATGATGCTTCCTCTTTTTTTTTTATTGTGTTTCCTCCCTCCTTTAGTCCTGCAGCCAGGGAGAAGGACCTGTTGCCTCCCCCCTCCCTGGAGCACCAGAACCCCCCAAGGCCGCGAAGCAAACCCCCCAGTGGGAAAACAGCCCCGAGAAAAGAACCTCGCAGTGCTACCAACGCAAACAACAACACAGTCGCTCCACCAGCAGCGCTGCAGCAACAACCGGTGCCAGTACCTGCTGTCAGTGTAAACCAGGTTGGTTTATGGGGGGGTCGGATACTCGCATATGTGTGTGTGTGTGTGTGTGTGTGTGTGTGTGTGGGTTTTGACAAATGGTGAGCATGACTCAAGCACCGTAGGAGAGTTTCCCTGCACTCAGAAACATCTGGAATACAGTTCAAGACCGAGTCCTGCACATATGTAATACATTGTCCATGTATCCTGTAATGATCACTTTATCTGAACGTCTGTGGATCGTTCTTCAAAGTCAGGCAGCATAAAAAAAAAATCTGTTATGATTAATGTGGTTCATCATTGACTGGGACAGAAAGAAAGAAACAAAGAAAAGTGCTTTCAATAAACAGGCTTAATGCAGCGAAAAGACTGAAGAACAATTAAACAAGTGAAATGAAAACAGAGCAGAAAATATTCCTCCTCTTTACTTATGAAAAGGAAAATTAGAGCTTCTACAATTAAACATATTTAATA